CGTGGGCTGTCGACGGATTTTCCGCAACTTTATGAGTAGTACATTACAAAGATGTTATCAGTCGGTTAGACCAGGTCATACATCTATCTTAATTTGATGCCTGCAACCGCAAACCGAAGGGTCGTGTTAGCCTACCTCTCCATACCCACGTGGTACCTCCCACTAGGGACTAAGCGCTGAGTTTTTCGAAGGCTGACCCCATTCCTCCTAATCAACAAATTTTATTCATAATACTGCCCTACGTTTTCCTCGGATCGTAGACACAGCAGCACGTTTAAATATACTGGATGTAACCTTTGTGTCATCTGTATAGGATGCCCTTGGTGCGGTAAGTTAGTACTTACTACTAATATTGAAACAAAATTGAACCTGTCCGAATGAAAGCACCTGAAAAGGAATCCGTTTCATTGGTTTGCTAATTTATAAGTTCGTTACATGAATTTATCAGCGCTGATTTTTCTCACTAGTTCATTTGATTTCGGTGGGATGATTTGCTTAATTTTTGCGCTGGCACGTCAATTTTGCAAACCCGAGTAAAGCAGCTGATCGTAGAAAAGTCTTGTATTATTCTATGAAAGGGAAAAACCGTACTCAGATTGGTCTCATACTAACCTACCACAGTGCAACCTACAACCGCGACGGACAAATCCATCAGTCATAAGCTTGGAGCAAGCTGAAGGAACCGGATTGGCCACAAATGAGGGGTGTGTAGCCAGTCGGAAAGCAATGAGCACCGGCTCAAAAGTTGTCTGGCCAAGTGAGAGATACGGCCACCTGGGCACATCCAACTAGACGAGCGGTTTCACACGGAAAACCTAGAGTTGTTGCTGTACCGTCCGAAACTCATGGAAAAGCGCCATAGGTGGCCAACAGAGTCGACAAAAAGCCATCGAGTAGAACACGAGCCGATTAAACATGGCGTTTCTTTGACTGGAAACCCTTTTGTTCAACCAATCACTGTTCTTCCTCGTTTGCCTGTACCTGTCCCACTGAAAGACACTTCGCTTCGGGTTTTATACCTATGGTCTGTTAGAGACCGCTGGCACAGGCCTCCGGCCAGCTACGATGTACACAGCTGGTGGCTTGCGATTGCCCCGGGGGGTCTCCGTCTGTTCTAGGGAAATCATCGACGCGCATAACTCAGACGCCACATCGTGTGCATCTGAATAACCCTAATGCCAATGCGTAATTCAGCCTGTTCAATGTGAGCCTGGTAACGTGACTGTGTGCCCACGTGCCCACGAGTTCGGAACCGCGGTCAGCTGGCCGCAACAGGCCCAATGTGGCGAGGCCTGCTGAAACTCGGTTGGCCGATAGCAAGTGTTCTATGGGTCACATGGCAGCTGTGCATCCGAACAAAGCTTGGCACTGTGTTAGTTAGACGGACGACAAGGCAGAAGTGGCACGATGTGTAAGGGTCTTAGAACAAGCTGACGCGGTATTGGCCGTGTTCTACGCCTCGTGTGACATTGGAACTGGAAGCTCTACTCCCGCCGTTTACTCTCTGTAGTGGTCTGATTCACCTGGCACAGGACCGGCGGGTTCGGGCATTGATGATGTATGGAGAGTCTGGGTGACGCTCGTCACACTACACCAAGAATGTGCGCAAAAACTGGGTGGAACATTGGGGGAGAGGCGGATCAGTCAAGAAGGGCCGTCTTACTGGCTATTCAGATCACCGAATCTGAGCCTCTTTGTATTTTTCTTTTATGGCAGTTTGAAACGGTTTGTCCAGCACGGTTTGTACGCACTCCATTAGGCATCTCACTTCATAACTAAGGAAGCTCCCACTCGGAAATTTACCGCGACGAACCGTATCCAAACTAACCAGCTTTCAATACATCCTCACATACCAACGCACATCTTTCCAAAGTTTTTACAGCTCCCCTTATAACATGTAATGATGAATGAAGTCATTTGGAACAATGAAACCATGAAAATCTCCAGTTCCCAATTCAGCTACTGTGCGTTCTCTCCAGTTTTCAACTGTGTAAACGGCAAACCCAGACACCTTGCCCGCTCAGCTCGCAAATTTTGTCATCTCTGAACATCATTTTATTCCATTCCGTGTGCCCGTCTATCATTTAGGGGTCCAGCTTACTTTCATGTTTCAAATACGAGGGGCCTCAGAGCAGTCTGTGGATATGCCTCACGCTCAAACGCGAATAGGTTCATTCGGCCCACGGCTATTGCTTTCAAGGACTTCCACCTAACATACAGAGTTTACAGTAATCCTTTGGTCGGGAGATTTAACCAGGAAGTTGACCAAGTAACCGTTACAATGTATCTTGGCGCTTAATCCAAAATCGATCTAGGCGCGAGTGATTTGTCTGTCTCCCCAATCGATTCAAATGCACTAATATTGAGCTCAAATCTGGAACACAGGTCGCCCATGCCTAATAAGCAAGAACGGGGATATTCCATCCATCGCGTATGCCGAATCCACCTAAATTGCAGCCATTGTTTGGGATCCAATGGGCGTTGCGCACTCCTCAGCATGCGTGTGTGCGTTCTGTGTGTACGGAATCGATACTGATTATCAGTTCAGCAAACAGATTTTGCTTCAGCGATGTCTTGAAAACTTGAATATCCTAAGGTGAACGGGGGACACAAAAACAAAACAAAGTGGGACATAATGATCGTTTTCCATACTACACTCGATAGAGCTTCGAGAATCAAGGTGACACTGATGATGTTTCCTCGAATGGTGACGAAACGTTTGCAAGCCAGCTGCCAAGCTCAGTGAACAGATCACACTGATGAGTTTCCTCGAATGGTGACGAAACGTTTGCAAGCCAGCTGCCAAGCTCAGTGAACAGATCAACAGCCAACTGATCAACAACCACTAGAATCAAGGTTTTCTATAGAGGAAAATGTTGGTAGCTCAGGTATCGTAGATGGTGGTCGTTGGCTTGTTCGCTGAGCTGGGCAATTTGATTGCAAACGTTTCATCACCAATCGAGGTGACATCATCAGTGCGTTATTGTGGAGCGTAGTAGTGCGTAGCGGTGGGTTGGTGGTTGTGCAAGGTACATTTAGAGAGCCCGTAGTTATGTCACTGAGGCTTTTTTTCTCTTCTTGGGACAGACGAGGGGATGATAACTTGGCCTAACATAAACAACTTGCTTGTGAGTTTTTTGTCGCTCAGAAAACGTGCGGTTACTAGGACTAATACAGTTAACGAGTAAGAAAACCTAGTCCAGCTGGTAAGCTGATTAACCGCGAAGAAACACCAACCACTCACCTAACTTTTTCTGGAACTGACAATTTAGGCACTTGTCTTTCAGCTGGCGTGGCCACTCAAGGCGAATGGAGTAGACATTCTCTTGGCTTCTGTTGAAGCTCACTTCAAACACGTTTGTCCCAAAATCGTCATAGAAAGGATATCTCGCTGATGTGATATACGATCCTGGTGTTTGCACAATCTTAGTGATCTTACATATTGATAATGCTTTTCCCCATTCTGCTTGTACAAAAGCATACGTCTTGAACAACTAGCCGTCACTTTTTAGAGTTCTCTGAATAATAGTATTTTCACACTCGCTAGAATTCCATGCCCCATTCATTAAAGTAGGCTTGGATCTTAGATATATCAACGCGGATAGTCCATGGGGAGTGATTTCTGTCGGACAAACATCACTCTCTTCGTGATCCATCGATTTCTGTGTGCTTCTTTCAGAGTACGTACATTTCGGGCTTGAAATTAAACAGCTATAGGAATGCTTAGTACCGCACCAGGTGGTGGGGCTACCAGAAACATAGTCAGGCACAAAGGACAGTGCATACGAATGAGGATGAATGATGTCATCGCCTTAGTGTCAGGATGTCCGCTCATGTTTGACGTGAGAAAATGCGTACGGACGCGGCTTCACTCAGACCTAAAACCTCACTACCCCTCTGTAAGCTAATCTGAATCAACTGTGTAAAAATTTGCCCAAATGAGCTGAAAATCAGCGCAGAAAACCTCTCATCGTTCCAAGTTTTCCGAGTGCCGTATTTGTAAATGGTGTTTTAAATTCAGCGTTTCTGTACGAAGTTGTGCGTAGTTCTGGGTGTTGGACTTCTGAGCCGTTTTCCGTAGTCTCATTTCGACTTTCTAACCTGTTTCCTGTAGAATAACATTGAAAAGGCTCGTTTGCAGCTATACTTTATCTGGTCACTGTCCCAGTCGTTCACTGAAGTTTCCGGGACGTACATTTTTTCCTTTGCTAGTCCAACCTCATAGGTTCTATCAAACCAACGCGCGGCTTCGTTGCCCCCGCGGCCGCACTCCCAGTACACTTAATCCCATAAAACACCACTACCGCATAGTGCCAAGAAGACCACTCATCTTGGGCGCACGCCAGTGGAGCAAGAGTCTTTCCCGTTTCCGGTGTTGTGTGAGGTGTCGGTTACAACCCTCACTGCACTAATTTGTTTTGAGGCCTTTGCAGGCGCATCGGTCGTATCATGCCGTCCGCCTAACCAGCACAGTGCCAAGCCCTGTTCGGGCGCAGATCAGTCATGAGACCCAGAGGACATTTTGCTCGATTTTTAGCGGGCCTCGCCACCTTGAACTTGTTGTGGTTGGCTGACCTCAGTCCCAGACTCATGAAAACGTGTATATAACACCACTTTTCCAGGGCTGGGTTGAAGGGGCTTGGTACCAGGCCGTTGAGTTCACAGTGTGGCGTTGGGGTTGTGCGCATCGGTGGTTTTCCATACTAAGACAGCTTTCCCGAATTGATCGCCTGACACCGGCGGAGTGCTCAGTATCAACTCCACACAGCACTCAAAATCTCTGTCACCATGTCGGCGTCTTAGTGATACTGAAAGGAAGAAGACCTTCGCTGCGGAGTTATTTACTAGAAAATGCCAACCGACCAGTTACAGACTAGCGGACAGAGAAGCAAAACTCTCATATGGATCTTGTTTGCAAAATCTGAATATCCATCTTCTTCTTGAACGCGTCCTTTCCTGGATATTCATTAACTGTTACTCAAGTCCAAGCAAATGCTAAAAAGCGACTCCACAAATTCCGCAATGGATCTCCCTTTTCAAGAAACGCAAAGCAAATTTACACGAAAACATACTACTCTCATGCCTCCCATCAGTAGTGTCACCGTTACAATACGACAATACGACGTTACAATACTAGCCAGGACACTAAACTAGAGGTTCTGTATCGAGTGGATTTTTCTAGACACTTATTGGAATGCAATTTATGCTGAATGTGAGAATATGAGTGATATTTTGAATAGGGAACCAGAGACTTGCTCTGTTTCTCTGGTGGCTTTCAGTGTGACAATGAAAACAGAACAACGAATTCCGTGGGAAGTTCTTCGAATGCAACCGAATATCAGTGCTCATTTGTAGTATGTCTGAGGAGCAAGTGTTCTGAGCTGCCTAATGAACAAGAGATTCGTGAGCCTAGTGAAAATCTATTCCCTCATGCTTCAAATTTCGGTAAGGCTTGCAGCCCATGTTCAGCAAATTATTGACCGAACACATCCTCAGTCAAACATGTTAGTACTGTTTTTAATTTTTCCGGCGCGTGACTAGAACCGCTTAAGGTTACCACCAAAATTGATTCACAAACATTGCTTCCTCAAAATATCTTAGCAAATGTCCCCAACTGTCTCTCGATGAGTGCCTCAGAAGGCATCTTTTTCCATTTTGTTGAGGACTGTCCAATTCATTAATATCATCATCCAGAATTCGATCGTCGAGCTATTTTGATTCTTCTTTTGTTTTTCAACCCAACCATTGGTCATGTATTACATGCGAAACGCCATCCTCTCCAGACGATAATTTTTCGACTGTCGTCACATATCTCGTGACTGCCGCTACTCGTTAGTAATCGATATAGTGCACTGAAATCCTTCTTCGTAGCAGGTCCTCGCTGACACGTGGTAAGTCATATTGATGATGCAAACAGATAAAATCAATACAGTTCTCTCACTAAACTTGTTCGTATGTTGGAGCAAGATCAATCCAGAGAATTGGAATAGAGGACAGGCTGGCCTCAGTTCGAGCTTATCTATGCGAAACGTTCTATTTTCCCATGTTTTTATTCGCACTGGCTTCTTTCCGCTTTCAGGAAACGTCTAAAACGTCGGAAAAGTTCGATAATGTATAGCAAAAGACATTCCGGAATTTTTGGATGTTGATGCTTGGAGCGGAACGGCAAGCCACGATTACTTTTCCCTACCACATTCCAGTTTGTCAAAGCACTGTGTTATTCATTTCGTTCCTCCGATTATGGCTAGTGATGGAAATCATCCCGTTCCCCCCCCCCCCACTAGATCCTACACCTCTATTCTCGTTCCTCTTCTTGTGGGGTTGAGGCAACGCTCACCAACCGGTACCGTACATGTATACCGTATCCTTTCCCTTTCTTGTTCCTGGTTTATTGAACTATTTTCATTCGGACATTTTTCCTCAATTCTGCACAGATTGCATCCACCCACTGTTCTTTGCGTATAATGCATAAGCTACCAGTGCATATGTTACCATCAGTTTGGGTGAGATGCAATTGCTCAATATATTGATGGTTCCTTTTGGCACTTTGTTTCACTTGTTTGAGTGACACAAACGAAAAGTATTTGTTCATGCGGGGTTTAGAGTTCAAACTATTTCAGTAGCGACTTCCACCGACTTCATGGCTAAGAACAGCTGGCATTTTTTCATAAAGGAAACTACTCACAAGGTTGCTGAGAACTCCTCGACAGCCCACGACCGGTTTCGCCCGTCTTAGGGCTCATCAGGTAGGCGTCGTCCGCGAGTTTCCGTCAACCTTATGTTCTCCTTCTCGAAAACAACTGCCACTTGTTTCATTCTTGTCGGAAAGCATCAGTAGTGCGTTTTTCCCGAAGCACAATGCCGTTTCCTGGCCTAACTAATCATTGGCTTAATTTCCTCCACCAAGGTCTTCATCACGCCACAAGGAATCGGCCTATCTTAGTACGCTCCTCATCTCGATCCTGAGCCTGAGGCGACAAGAAGACACCACTAGCGCCTCCTTCCCTCATTCTAATCTGGACAAATCCAATTCACATGCTGAGGCTGCTCTGCTCACTCTGAAATTGTGTGTAATTCAAGGGGTTCATATCACCTGAAAGCAAGCTGTTGAGCGCGAGGCAGCTGGAGTCACCGTACATTTTTAAAACAGTCCCGATACACAGCGAGAAGACTGCCGTGCACTAAGCCATCTGTGATACTCTCCTTACGCTCATACGTACGGGTGAAACACCTACCGGAAATGAACACGAGCAGGCTCCAAGACGGTGCCCATTAGCTGCAAAACCTTCACGAGTGGAGTAGAACCTTTTGCACCAAAATGTTGCTTTTTGTTGCGTATGTGCTCAAACCAAAACCCATCCTAACCTACATCCATATTCTTGCAGCACACCAAATATCATTGTCCGCTCGAACAATCATACCACTGGCGGACAAGTCTGGTGGAATAATTTCTCAGCATCGCTAAGACCCCGAAATGCCTAAATGGGGCTCAAAAGTTTGGACTGGTACTCTGAACTCAATTGACTGATTGCTTTAGTCCATCAGGGGCACATTGTAGCTTTCGAAAACTCAACTCTATTGTGCGAATACTGAGCGCCCTCCAAGACGGTGAACACGGTGCGTCGTTTGAACCTAGGTACACTTGCACGGGAGACAATGACACTCAGTATTCGCACAATGAGACTGAGTTTTTCAAAGCTACAACGTGCCCCTGATGGACTAAAACAGACAGGCAATTCAGTTCAGAATACCAGTCCAAACATATCCCATGTAAAAGTCATTTAGGATAGCCTTCCTAACAGAATGCTCCTAATTCTGGATAAAGGCAGGTCCGTTGCCAGAATGTAACCAACCCTGGGTCAGGTTTCCCAGTTCCCGCGAGAAAATTGGTTCGGTAGGCCATCTACTGTTAAAAGTGAGTTGCGAAACAGATTAATATCAGACTGTTCACTTTGGTTAGAAAACAGCCCATGGAGTGAGAAATGGCTTACCAGAACGTTTTCGTGAACGTCGAGCAATTTGTTTCTTAACAAGGTATGCGCGTGCGTTTTGTGTTTGCGAAGTGCATGGAACTGCGCACCATGTGTATTTCTCCATAATAATCGAGGTAACCCAGAAGTTAGGTCACCGCATCGGTCCGTCAGACTTATTATCGGCTTTCAAATTGTTTCTATCTAAGAAACTGACCAATACCTTTGCCTTCGTGCCGTTTTCACCTTACCTGGCATTTGCGCACCGAACGGGCGTCACAGCTGAACGATTTTATTTACTCCATAGAGTGGTGATCAGTTGGGTTTAAGACCACGATGCCGGATTGTATGCAATGACCACGGCTTTCCGAAAACCGTGAATTTGTTATTGCTCACTTCCAAGCCATATTACGGTCTTCCTGCTGTCCCAGTGCAATTATTCGTTACCGAGTACAATCTTACTCTTTTGAGGAGGTCCCGTTCACCCGAATTTGCTACGTTAGTTGAGCAACAGCTGCCGGAGGCCTGTAGACTGGAAAGGTTGAAATATCAAACAGTGGTTTGGTGTGCTTAGTTGTGGTTCTCATTCATACAGCAATAAAATTAATTTCGTCATATGACGATAAAGCTAGCGAGACACCCGTTTGTTTCATATGATTTGGAAGTATTTACCGATGGTCTATCCGAATTCAGTCATTTATGTTGCGTTTGAAGCTCATTAACTTGAAGGAGGTGTCAGAACAGATGTGATCAGCAAAGACGAAGTACGGCAACTCCATTGCAAGTGAAACATTGCAACTGCAATTAAGAAAATAAAAAATCGTTTAGCTGTAGCACCCTTCCTGTGCCTAGATGCCATGCCACCAAGAAGCACGAGGGTTGGGATACTGCAAGGTTGCCCAAGCCCAGACAGGAGAAATTAAGAGGCAGAGGCCGGGTTCGAACCACGGACCTTCCGGTCAGTAGATTCGTGCTCTAACCGCTTGAACCCAACTGCAATTAGGAGGGCCACGTACAAACCTTCGCATTCATATCGCTTCACTAAGCCGGGTTAGAGGGCAACACTATTCAAACGAGCTCCACGAATTCCATTAACAACTCAGTAATGAAGTCTCCGAATTTAATTGTTTTGGTCAAGGTTTTTCACAAGCATTCATGACCAAGAATACAACAACCACCATATAAAGAATTCCCTGTACAAGAGGACAATGTCGGCTTACCTCGTGGATGTTCTGTCGAAGAAAGAACAATCGTTGATTCAAAGGTCTCCACCACCACCACCACCAGTTTAGCCTAGTCCCAACAGCACCGGATTAATGGACGAAACGATCCGTCAGAAAGGGATCTCGATTCTTCGACTACTCAAGAGGCTTGCTTGCTGAGGCCGGTATTCAGTACTGCAGTTCTTGTGCGTCCAGACACACCGTGACAGGAAGTTGGGTGAGAGAAATTTAGCCATGGCGGTTATCGCCAGCAACGAATACTGATCTCGTTAGTCTGAACACCGCAGACAGTTTTGGTCACAGTCCACAGTCATTGTGCGCAGTGTACTAAATAGTGATCGGTCACTTTATCCCTCAACACTACATCGCAGACACCCCATTCCGAAGCAACTCAGCCGGAGTACGCAAACCAGTTGCAATGAACGTGTGCGTTTAATCACAAGTCAGTATATTACTCTAGACAGTAATTCACGGGAAACGTGAATTAATGTTACGTGAAACCGGGATCTGTGGGGCCTGATCGGATCATGTGACCTTGATTACCATGCCGTTAACGGCCCATATGGGAAACAAAGTCTAGGTGCACTCAAAAGTGAGTAATCTGGGGGAATGTTCGATGAGCAAGCAGACCTCCTTGCTTCTCTTCCTAGCGCACTAATGAAATCGACGACAACTGGAAAAGTGCTTGATTAAGAAACGAAAACAAGCACCTGTTTGTCTAGATAGTGCAGACAGCCACAAGTGATCTGATGAGTGGACAAACGGTCAAACAAGTAAGCCAGTGAGTTTCATCCACTATTTGAAAATCTAACGCCAAGACCCTTTGATTTTACTAGAGCTCTGATGCCACAAACCTAACAATGAACCGGTGCGACCTCCTGAAAGTCGCGTTCAACAGAATCCCACTTCACCCCGTATACCCTAGCGCTACATTGTGGCTCGGGGGGGGGAGCGCTACCCACTGTGTTAGTGGGCTCATTCGAGTCTTTGATGATGTAAACTGGTTTTACCTCAAAGCCTGTGTATTTCTGCTCGTTCTCATTTTCGCGGGCCACACTGTTCTTCGGCTATCCATTACTATTATGACTTAGATGGTGATATATGAATATCACACCAGTCTATCATGAAAGTACTACTACCCCTTTGTAAGATATATGCATGTTATAAACAATTCCAACGAACGCGCCTCTATTGCTGATTATTCACAGTAATTAAGCAAAGGACAGCTTGAGTTCCTTTCTTGAATACACTCTAACCTACAGCTTTTGGGTATGTGCATAATCAAACACAAGATTTCGGGAGACATCTTATATGTTCCACAAATTTGTGGAATTCGCTCCTAGCCTCAATTGGATGGCTTAGTTTTGTCTAAACAAGTATCTTCAACTACACCATAATGTCATTTCGAATGTCGAATCCTTGAATGAGGTTCCACTGGCGATGACAACGAAGAGAAAGAGAAAAAAATCGAACGAAATTGCAAAGTCCATGCCATCATACAGAAACTAAAAGCTATATTAGAATACACATACTGTTGTTGATAGCCTACATTATTTCAGAAAAGATGAAGACGATGGAAGTTAATGGAAGCTCAAATAAACTTTGGAGCATTAAGTCTCTTTGGCATATTTCACCACGAAGTCAGCAAGAAGATATGACTAGCAAGATTCTAGCATTTCTCTAACTTTCATCAGCAACCACACTAAGCACTTCCAAAATGACAATATTAAAAAGACTGGTAGCGATCCAGTCAGCAAGGTAACACAACATTAAGACAACCTTGTACATCAAGTATCTCTGTGGAGTTTCGAAATTTTTCCTCGATCAGGTTTTGTTCCTTCTCAGCTGCTTTGTCATCAGGTGTTCGGCTGGTCCTGGGTTTGTTACACCCAGGTAAGTGTCACCGCATCTACAAACGGAGTGGAAAGTCACACAGGTGAACAAATATGATTAGGCTAACATGTGAACTCCTCGAATGAATGAAGTCATTTTTGGATGAGCAGCTCAGCAGACCAGCTCATACCGCTCCGTGTGTAGGGTTGGTAACTATCAGGAAGGTCAGAGTCCTGAAAGCAACCACTGAGTGCCCAAAATCTGCTGAGACTCTCAGTTCCGCTAGATGTTGATCAGACAGACAACGCCCCCTCAATATGCTGCGCTTCACAGCTTGTATCAAACCCAGACAGCGTGAGTCAGCGCTGACCAAGGTCAGACAACGCCCCCGCAATATGCAGTGTGTCGCAGCCTCGTACCAAGGCCGGACCGCGTGCGTCAGCATTGGACCAAGTTTATACAGTGTTCCGCCAATAAATAGCTTGGGACAGTTGTACTTTCGCACTCGCACGCACTTGCACTCTCGTACTCGCTTCTTCAGAATATAGCTGTCGTGTTCCCTTCTGTGAATCTTTTTTTCCGGCATTAGGCACTGGATCGGGTCAGAAGTCAGATACAACAGATTGGCGGATCA